GCTAATTTTTTTATATCTGTATAAAAATGATCAAATGCTTCACCCTCTTCCTGATTGCGAGTATAAAAAACAAATCTTTCAAACATTTCATTTCTTTCTGGTACACAGAATGCTTCTAGTTCATTTAGTACTGTTTGAAAATTACCCTTTTGGACATCTGAAAGTTTTAAAGTGTTTATAACCTCAACTCCTTCTTCACCTATTAAATTTAAAAGAATAGCAACCTTCATTTTGTCTGGCTTTGTGTCCTTTTCAGAGGCAATCAAGTAATTTTCCAAGTTTTGCTTAAACTTCCTGAAATGCTCTGCTATATTGCCCTCAAATTTCATAGGATTTGGCAGCCTCACCTCCATCTTGTATTTTTAATTATAATAGGTCTTACAAAGTTATTTTTGACTTTACCTTTAGTGAAACTTTGTAACACAACAAATGTGATTTTATTTTCCGTTTGACTGCGCCATGTTGTATTAGTAATAAACGTAGGCTTTTTAAATTTTTATTAACTCTTTTATTTAAGAACCATTACAATATCGGCATGGCACGAAGTGTCCGCCTTCATTTATATGTCAATTAACATCAAACATAAAACTAATATGACATCTAACATAAAACATAAAACTAATAGAATAGACTTAAAACTAAATATATGACATTAACAAAAGCAGCAGCTACCAAACTGAGAGTCACGCAGAAAAGAATGGAGCGGTCCATGTTAGGAATAACTCTGCGAGACAGAATAACCAACGAAGACATCAGGAGAAGAACCGGAGTGACTGACATCATCGAGAAGATAGCCAGACTAAAATGGAGATGGGCAGGACACATAGCCAGAATGACAGATGGGCGATGGACAAAGAGGTTATTGGAATGGAGGCCAAGGGAAGACAAGAGAAGCGTCGGTCGACCACCTACAAGATGGACTGACGATTTAAGAAGACTCAATAAAAACTGGATAAGAGCGGCGCAAGATAGACGGGGTTGGAAACATGAGGAAGAGGCCTATGTTCAGCAGTGGACTTTTGAATGAATACTAAAAATATCTCGGAAAGTAATAAGTTTAGGTATAGGGAATACTGCATAAAATTGAAAGAGTATCATAAATACAATATTTCTAAAAAATAAAATATAGGGTAGATCCATTTAAAAAATTGAGAAAATTGTAATTTTGTTTTGTAGTTTAACTTATATACAAATTTTAGTCAATGATTTTAATTACTTAAACTTAATTTAAAAACTAAAATATATTGTTTTCCTTATTATATAAAATAAATAATTGTTTATGAATTACTTCTTTATATAAATCATGTTGATTTCATAGGGATTTCGAAATAAAAATGATCATAACTTGTTAAATACTTTGTATTTAACGGCAGGCCAAAAAGGCGTAAAAACCGGAGGAGTCTATGGGAACAATCCCAAAGACAAAAGCAACCACAGAAAAGTCCACGGGAATAATCCCAAAGACAAAAACAACCATAGAGAGAAAAAAAGAGAACACAACAAGAAGAAGGACACAAAAACAGCAAGAAAAAGGCAATGAAGGAAGACTTCCCTCCACTAGCGACCCCTAGTGCAACAGCAACAGAGAGTCATCAGCAAGATGCGCAGCTACACCACGCCCTCCGACTCTATGCCAAGCACAAGCAATGGAAACCGACGGAAAGCCCACCGCAAAACAAGATAAACCAGCGTGGAAACCAAGCGCCTGTATAAACAGGCATCAGCAGACAGGAGCAATACTAGACATTACTCAGAAAAAGAAGGTGATAACGTTGAATAGACTATAGAGAAGCGGACGAGAAACCTTAATACAAGCAAAAAATCCAGAAGATTATAGGTCTATGGTGAAAATCATAGAGGAGTATAATCAAAAAACACCCATACAGTGGATTGCCTTCTCACTAGAGGAAGACATAAAACCAAGAATGGTTTTAAGAGGACTACTTCCAAACACAGACGTTACAGAAATGTTCAATACTCTCAAAGAAGAGTATGATATCGAATGTGAATCGATAAAAAACATGATTTCCAGAAAGAGTGATAAAAAAATCTACAAATATTTGTGCTGACACTGGAGAAAGAGGACGTGGAAATAGCCAGGCGCATCACTAATCTGATGCATATGAAGATCCACATCGAGGACTTCAGAAAATCAGCTGAGCCCACGCAGGCTACGACATATACAGGAACGACAAAACAGCAAGATCAGGTGGCACAGAAATTTTAGTGAAAAAAGGCATAGGTCACATCAGAGTTCTAACACCACAACTAAATACTATGCAAGCAACAGGCAATCAAGCAACAGCAATAAGCCATACAAGAGTACAAATGAGGCAAGGAGAAATACGTTCCTAAACGACGAATCCTTAATAACAGGGCTCTAAAATACTTACCAACCAGAGCTATAGTATATCTAACCAATATAATCAACGCGATACTAAGATTCAAGAAATTTCCAAACAGATGGACAGAAGCCTATGTCATAATGTTACCAAAACCCAGCAAAAACATTACATTCCCGCAAAACTACAGGCCAATAAGCTTACTACCTTTAATCAGCAAGATTGTAGAGAGAATATTACTCAGCAGACACCAAGCTGAAACAGACAAATTAGATATAATACCCGAAGCCCAATTCGGTTTTAGATCAGAACACTCCAGTGAGCTACAAGTACTCAGATTACAGAGTACATAGCAGCTGGATTTAATGATAAACAATTTACAGGAGCTGCTTTCCTAGATGTAAGTAAAGCTTTCGACAGAGTCTGGCACAAAGGACTGATCTACAAAATGAGAAGATACGGTTACAGTGGAGCAATGACAAGACTAATCTCTTCGTACGTGAGCAATCGTAATTTCAGAGTCCGGATAGGACAAGTACTGTTCAAACTCGGTAATCGGAGGGTGAAGTGCCACAGGGAGCGGTACCGTTACCTCTAATGTACACGATATACACACCAGACACATACAGCCCAGCTCAGAGTGAAAACTTGAGGCCTAAGTAAGCGATTTTAGTTCGCGGATAAGCCATATTAAGATAACAGGCATATAGCGACACTGCGCTGTCCTGACTTTTGAATTTGGTTAGGAAACCATGTTGGGGTTCTATTACCCAGGACCTCCACATAAAGAGCATTTGGCTGATAGTTGTGCTTTGGCTGATATTGCGCATCATAGTGCTATAGGGGGGAAATGGGTGGTCTGGAGCATTGGAGCGTGGTGGAGTGACTCGTGTTTTTTACTCGAGCTAATACACCTCGCTCCAATGAATTGTTACATCCGAACGTAATTCTTAGGGGCGAACATTTCTCACAGGCTGGGTTTAATTAAATTGTTTACTTGCTTGCTTGCTTGCTGTAGCAATAGATACAGGCATGATACTATATAGGTAAACAAACAAATATTTTGTATAATATATATTGTATACATTATACATTATACCAACCAGTGGAGCAAGCAGGCTTTCGTAAGGGTTTTGGCACTATCGATCACTTGAAAACAATTCGGACCATTATTGAAAAAACAATAGAGTACAACATACCACTACATCTGGCATTTGTCGATTATCACAAAGCATTCGACAGTATCGAGAAATGGGCTTTCTTAACAGCATTGGACGACGCCAGAGTAGATTCAAGATATGCTGCCCTCCTTAAGAATATATACGATGATGCTACTTTTCACGTAAAAATAGATGATGATCTGGAAACTATGAAAATAGACCTTGTCAAAGGTGTGAGATAGGGCGACACCATCTCACCCAAGTTATTTACTTTGGCATTAGAAAATGTTTTCAAACAACTAAATTGGGCCGAAAATGGATTAAAAAGATTTAAATCACAAATCGAATCAAATAGGATTAAAAATGAATCTCGACAAAACAAAGATATTAAGCAACAGCCTAGAAAACATACGATAGATCAATATATCATCAATACATCAATATAGAAAAGGTAGAACAATATATATATATATATATATATATAATATATATATATATATTATATATATATATATATATATATATATCTAGGACATGCAATTAAAAACGAAAAGGAAAATCAAACCCTAGAAATTAAAAGAAGGACACAATTATCATGGGCAAAAATCCCAATTCACTTAAAACAAAAAACCTATGACACTTGTATACTACCAGTTGCAACTTATGGATTGGAAACTATGGCAATAACAAGAAAAATGGCAGAACAATTAAGAGTAACTCAACGGGCCATGGAGAGGGCCATGTTAAATATAAGCCTCAGAGACAAAATTCCTAACACCGAAATACGTCGAAGAACTAAAGTAACCGACATCATGGGAAAAATAGCGACATTGAGATGGCAATGGGTAGCACATGTAGCAAGACAAGACACCAACAGATGGTCTCATAAAGTGACATTCTGGAGACCTCGAGAAACAAAAAGAAGCGTGGGAAGACCTAAAAAGAGATGGATAGACGATATAACTGCTGTAGCTGGAAAGCAGTGGATGAGAATTGCAAAAGATAGGGAAGCGTGGAAGCAATTGGAGGAGGCCTATGTCCAACATTGGATAAATGAAGGCTGAAGAAGAAGAAGAAGATATATTATACAGCGTGTGCAAAGTAGGATAGTCAGATATATGACAAACAGACAACGCTTGCATAATAGAATCACTTCAATCGTTTTTATAATATAAAATATAAAGAGGGTTTAAACAACATCAAATATAAAAGTTTTAATGGATCAGAAACATCACGGAATCTCTTTCACACAATGGGACGTACTGCTAATAGAATTTAAGCGTACATCTAACATACCAAACATTTTATTCAAATATCAGACTAGTGAAAACACTGATATCAGAATATCAGAAAAGTGTTTTTATAAAAAAGTATGTGTGTGGTCAAAACAAATAATGGTATTACGTCTTTTTGTTATAAACATTTTAAGACAATGTATTAAGCATAAAATTATTTTTGTTCTGTTTAATTTTAATTCGCTAAAACACTTTTCTTTTAGGTACAACAGTTTATCTGAGGTAGGCGAACGAACCGAAAATGACCCGCGTTCTTCATCAAAAATAGCACCTCTTTGGTCTTATTTTTTAGGAGAACCTATAATTGATATAAACACGGTAGAAGACGAGTTTAACAAAATATCATATATACTAATTCTCGGAGAACGAAATTATTTTTGTATATACGAAACCGGAAGACTGACTTTTATGAAGAAACTAGAATATTCTCCAATATGTTTTGAAGTATATATGATAAGTAAGATTATTAGTACTCATTTATATGGTTAACATATTTAGATATATCTAATACCTAGTTGTTTTCCCCTTTTTTCGGACAGTTCGTTTTCAATTTAGGTTTTTGGGACATACACACATCCTTGTAGACCATCTTAATTTCGGTAAACAGTTAAATGTTATTTTTTATTAATTTTTTTCTTCGCTCGACTAAGACATTACAAAGAAGCCTATTTTAGTACTGATACCAATAAGATAATGATCCCAACATAGCCCCTCCTGAAGATTCCCAATACTGACATACGGATGTGAATCTTGGACCCTACGGCAAGCGGAAAAAAGAAGAAAATTTCAGTGGCGTATATCGAAAATAATTCAATAATATAGAACATCACTCTCATTTAACAAACAATCACATTACACCTATCTCTACTTTATTGGATAAAATCTATTTCCTCAAGAACTTCCCTGTTTATTGTCAAACAATTACAATAGCAAAAACTTAAGTTCTCCATTCAACAATACAGGATAGTTTGAACCATGTTCTTCCAACCATTAATTAATAGAGTACCGGCATCATTTAATTAACTTTGTATCGAGACCTGAAGATGCTTTGCATATTGTAGAAAACGAAACTGGTCGTCTAGATAGTTAAATTAAACTGATTGTGAGTAAGTCTTATTTATTATTTCTTTTACCTATTATAACAGGATAGGTTGTCCTGCATCTCATCTTTATATAACTGGTAAACTTGGTTTACTGAGACTCAAATCTGATAAGTATTTCCGGTGGTTGGTTCGACTGTTTTGTTGTATGGTGGATGTTTGACGTGTTTATCATAATGTAATGCTCTACATATCCCTGACTGGGAAAATAATAAAACCTAATATTGTCCCTCTTTAGCCATAACGCTAAAAATATAAATATTTCATTTTTTTATCTATGAGTCTATTACACTTTAATTATAAAATATTATTTTAATTTTAGAAGAAAAAATATTCTCGTTGATAGTATCTGAAACAAGTGATCTTCTTGTATACGAAAACACCAAATTAAAATGGTCAGCTAAGCTCCAATTTCTACCAGTATGCCTTAAACGAGCCTTCCTAAAACATGTCAAAGGGTCCCTTGTACTTCTTTCAGAAGAAGGAAGGTTGGAATGCTGCTATTTGGGAACTGAACCAAGCCTTTTCGTTGCTCCTCCATTAGTGGAGAGGGAGCTAGATCTGGAAAAGATCGAAGAAGAATTAAAAACACTAAATGAGAGAATCAGAGAATCTTATGGAAATGGTAAGACATTTTCCATTAAAGGACTTCACTCTGTATACCGGGTGAAGTCCGTGTGGGTATTTTGTTTTACTTAATATAGTTGTAAACTTGTATAATGCTTACTGATACTAGTTAGGTTTTCTCTAGGAAATCAAAAATGCAGAATAATATCCACAAAAAACCAAATTCAGGATAGTACCTTAAAAATGATTGCTGTCATTTAAAATTTTTCTATAAAAAAAGTCTTTTACAAAACCTTTATGCGTGTTTAAATGTATTTATTCATTTATTGAATATATATATATATATATATATATATATATATATATATATATATATATATATATATATGGTTTCAGTTGTTTTCCGGGTTTGACTCTCCTAGAAAAACCATTGTTTTGGCGACTTTTCGGCAAGGTCACACTTACCATTGTCAAGTCAGATTAGTTCTGCTTCTTCTTGATGTTCCGGGCGAACTGATGCTGTCATTTACTGAGGCCATCAGTTCGTCTGGAATATCAAGAAGAAGCAGAAGTAATCTGACTTGACAATGGCAAGTGTGACCTTGCCGAAACGTCGCCAAAACAATGGTTTTTCTAAAAACCAAAACTATTTAACACGGAGTCAAACCCGGCAAACAACTCTAGAGATGGCTAGAGAATTGTATTCTTAGCGTCGTTATATACACTATATGTATATATATATATATATATATATATATATATATATATATACAATATAACTATACATATATTTTTATATTCATATATATATATATATATATATATATATATATATATATATATATATATGTTATATGAGAAAATATTAACCTTGAACTAGCTTAAGTTCGCCGACTTCAGATTTCATCATTTCATTCCCATAGAAACAGCTGACCACGCAGTAGAACTTTGTACGAACCGTTGGCCAATATTCATGGGAACAGCGATTCAGCACTTCATACCAAACCTATAAATTGCCATTCTCAGATGCCGGGACCACTCTTAGCTGCAACTTCGACCAGTCCAGTTATTAGTCATTTTAAATTCATTTAATTTTGTACTATTATTTAATATTAAATTTGTAACAAATAAAGTTCTTTTTTAAAAAGTTAAACTCGTGATTAGTGATCTAACAATTGGCGCAGTCAGTAGGATCCGGAAAACGTTGCTAGAACACGTGTATACTCACTGGCAGCGGCGGATTCTCATCCCTTAACGGAACAAAGAATCTACGGAAGTCCTCACTCCTGTGATCTACGGAAGGAACACCTAGTGAAGCCCCTGGTAGCCGAGCAGAGAGAACAAGACGACCCTTAAAGAAGAAGACATCTCCGAACAACCTCACTCCTGTAATCTACGGAAGGAACACCTAGTGAAGCCCCTGGTAGCTGAGCAGAGAGAACAAGGCGTCCCGATGTTCTTCTTTATGTAAGTGGATTTTGAATCATCTCGTTAATAATTTTGTTTTAATAATTTACGAAATTGACTATACTGCAAGTCAATTAATCAAGATACAAAAATAATACAAGTTGATTATCTAATATTTGAAATTATTGATATTGACATATCTCTTTTATTCTATTTTATAATTACTGATATTTTATTCACATATATTTTTTTACTTACTATATTTTTGGTATATTTTCTCCTGATATATTTTTATTTGACATATTTGATACATTTTTACTTAATATATTTGATACATTTTTATTGATATATTATTTGATATTTTAAATTGATACATTTTTGTCCTTTATATATACCACCACATTTTTTTTTCTCCCTTATATACTGATATATTTTATACTTCTTTATACTTCTATTTTTCATTTTCGTTTCAAAATATCTCGAAAAATGCCCGAGACACGTTCCCAAACTCAACAAGAAATCGAACCATACAAGCTTTCGGAAATATTTTCCATTATCCCAGAATTTGAAGGCGATCCGATGTCTCTTTCTACATTTTTAGATGCGTGCGACTGTGCCTTTAAAATGGCCACAGGCGATCAGCGCGTTCTGTTAACGATTCACGTAAAAAATAAACTTAAAGGTAAAGCTGCACAGCTTATTAATTCTAGAAAACCACTTTCCTATACAGAAATAAAACAATTATTAAATCTACATTTCGGAGACAGTAGAGACCTGACCTCCTTAATACAAGACTTACAAAGACTAAGACAACTATCTAACGAATCTCCTCTAACTTTCTTTAACCGCTTACAAGTTCTGAATGCAAAAATGCACGCCTCGATCCAAATAGCAAATTTACCCCCAGATCAAAAAACCGCCCAATGTGACTTAATCGATACCATGGCCCTAAACACACTTTTAACCGGTTTAGAACCCCGTCTAGGACAAATTATTAGGGCTAGTAATCCAAAAGATCTCATTGAAGCAAGCAATCGTATTAGACGCGAACTTCAATTGTCATATTTTGAAGAACAAAAATCTAATTCTAGATCAACTATTCCTAAACCCTCTCAACCAATGAGAAGACCCTCATCTCAGTTTACAAAATGTACAAATTGTGGCCGCATTGGTCATCTAAATACTGAATGCCGCTCTTCACGTTTCGTAAAGCCAAACCAAACTTTTTCTAGGCCACACGGTTACCAAAACCAATATAATAATGGACCTAATAACTATCAAAACAATCAGAACCCTAATAGGAATCAATATTCTTCCAACAATCCAAATTTTAACCAACAGAGACCTTCCTTTTCATCTCAAAATCAAAATCAAAATCGTCCATCTGTTATTCAAAGAAACCCAAACTTCCAACGGGCACATGTCTTAAACGAATACCCTGACGAAATAACGAATAACTATTATACAGATGATTACTACACAGATAATTATTATAATACCGATAACTATGAAAACTATGACACAGATTATTATACAGAAAATAATCCACAAACTGATAACTTTTACGAAACCAATAACACACAAGAATATCAAAATTTTCTTTCACTTCCGAATCAAAATCATCCTCCCAATCATACGAACCACTCAACGGATTATTACGAATATCCAAGAACAAATTCAAGCACTCAACTTTCATCCGGACCTCAATTTTCCCGAACAGACATTCATGTAACCCCATTTCATACAATGAGTTCCAAAAATTTATATTATATTAACGATGCTACCAATACTTTTAAACTTTTAATCGACACAGGTGCTGGAATCACTGTTTTCAAAGAAAACACAGCACGCAATTATCATAATAGATTTCCTGAAAACGTTACTATTCAAGGTATAACCGATCAAAAATTGTTAATAACAGAATCTGTCCTGATTCCCTTCACTGACAATAATCCTCACAAAGTCTTTATTTTCAATTTAGATATTGATTTCGATGGCATAATAGGCCTAGACTTTCTAGATCATTATGAATGCGTAATAGATCTTAAATCCCGACAGTTGCATACAAATTTTAAAACTGTCACCCTTCACAAAGTAGGACACGAGACAAACACACCTCAAGACAAAATACCGACACACCCTACAGAAACAAGACAAAACGAACCTAAAATAAAAAATTAAATCAGATTCTAAACAGGAATCAAATTTAAAATACCAAAAACCCTATAAACGAAAAATACACTATCATAAAAAACCGAGATCAAGAAAAAAATCTTGAAAGACCGGAGAGAAAACGAATAAAAGGAACAAACAGAATTACCATTGACAGCCGGACCGAACAAATATGCAAATTAAAATGCAACTTATCGAATACAGATGCCATATTATCAGCTCAAGAAATAGAAAAAGTAAGATTACCTCATGCATTAGTCCATGTAGACGAAAATGGAGAATTCTTAACTTCCGTCCTAAATGCTAATGCAATGCCGAAGACAATCGAATTTTCAGACATTTTCAATCGCACCGTTCAAAAATTCCGAGACAATCCTATCCTACAACGGAAATGATTTTGAAGAACCCGTACTAGACAGAACACGAATAATTAGAGAACAACTAAGAATTGATCATCTAAATTGCGAAGAACAAGAACTAATTCTAGATATATGTACTTAATATGCAGATATATTTTATGTCGAAGGCGACAAAACTGACATTCACAAACGAAATCAAACACAAAATCGAAACAAACAACGCTAAACCTATCTTCACTAAATCTTATAGATATCCTCAAATACATAAGGAAGAGGTAAAGACGCAAATTAATAAAATGTTAGAAGAAGGAATAATCCAGAAAAGCGTCTCGCCCTGGTCGAGTCCAGTCTGGGTCGTACCGAAGAAATTAGATGCGTCAGGAAAACAAAAATGGCGAGTTGTTATTGATTATCGAAAACTTAACGAACTCACAGTACAAGACCGTTATCCTCTACCACAAATATCAGAACTATTGGACCAACTAGGAAGATGCCAATACTTCACAACACTAGATTTAGCGTCTGGATTTCACCAGATCGAAATCGAGCCACAAGACATCCAGAAAACGGCTTTTTCGTCGAAAATGGACATTACGAATTTGTGCGCATGCCATTCGGACTAATGAATGCTCCATCTACTTTCCAAAGAGTAATGGACAACATCCTTTTAGGAATACAAAACGAAAGATGCTTAGTGTATATGGATGACATAATTATCTACTCACCCACTATTCATGATCACATGTCACGACTAACAGAAGTTTTTAAAAGATTACGAAAAGCAAACTTAAAAATACAGCCAGACAAGTGCGAATTTTTAAGAAAAGAAGTAGCATATTTGGGCCACCTTGTAACAGAAAATGGTGTAAAAACAAATCCAGTTAAAATATCTTGCATCAAAAAACTTCCCGGAACCAAAGAACACCAAAGAAATAAAATCATTCTTAGGCCTAGCCGGTTACTACAGAAGATTTATTCCAAACTTTGCCAAAATTTCTAAACCACTTACGAAACTACTTCAGAAAGACGTACCTTTTATTTTTAATTCTGATTGCAAAGAAGCCTTTAACGAACTCAAAAATATTTTAACTTCAGATCCAATACTTATATATCCCAATTT